GGATATGCTTATGCGATCGTTCTTCATTTCGATTATATAAAAATCGGTGGGAAAAATCAAGTTATTTACCTCAACTAGTACATTCTCTAAGAGTCCTTTTGGATAGATCACCGATCTGTCGGCAAGCTGTATTTAGATCTTTGTATCCTTCAAAGGCTCGTTAGTAATCGTTTTGTAAACAGATAGATGCATTACATTAATAAATGTACCAATATCGCACATGGCTCATTTTATCTCAACTTTACCAATTTTATAGGGTATTACAAATATACCTTGGTCTTTTAGTTTAGGTGGCAAATTTGTTGGAAAACGGCTGAGATGTGTTCTCCTAAATTCACTTTCTCGACCCCATTAAGCTTCCTTTTTGTCGTACAAAGATTCTTTAAAAACTGGGCATACCTTAGAACCTTCCAGATAACCTCAAGGAGAGGAATGTTAACTTCCACCTTCCGAAGTACGTCTAATATTTCCTTTTTCTCTACGTGTTTATCCCTTTTAACTAACCTTGATAGAAAAGGCGGTGTCACGTCATAGGGAGGTGGTGTTGGATTCTCTATTTGTTCTTCGTCATTCTCTTTCTGGGATTTTGAATCATCAGTCTTCTTCTCTTTTTGGATTGCCTCGTCTGATGGAACAGGTGGCGCCACTACTGTACCACTCAGAAGAGTGATGGTGCTGACATTCTCCCTTGGGTTTACCTCGGTTTGAGATGAAAACTTACCTTGTGATTCCAAGCGGCCTACGGTTTGAGCCATCTAGCTTATCTGTTTGTCCATCTCTTTGAAGTGGGCTTCAGTACGAGTCTGGAATTTTTCCTGGGAAAGTGCTAACCTCTCGACAATTGACTCTAGTGATGTCTTCTACGGCTATTGTAATGGTGGAGGTGGTCTCACTTGATAACCTTGATTCGATCTTGAGTTCTGAGTATAACTGAAGTTCGGATGATCCCTCCATCCTGGGTTGTATGTATTGTCGTAGGGATTATAAGCTCTTTGGGGAGGTCCTGGATAGTTTCCGACTGCGTTGACTTGAGCTGCTGCATCATCTAGGATCAGTGGACAACTGTCTTTCGGATGATCAGATAATGCACATATTCCACATAATTTGTTTGGTCCTGTCTTTCCTACAACAAGAGAGTTGACGAATTCAATTAACTTATCTATATTATTTTCTAAAGAAGATGAACTTTCTCATGAATCCTTGAGGAGGTTCATTATTTGTGCGGAACTGTTGAGAATTTGCAGCCATTGTGGGAATTATGTCCCTAGCCTCAGTAGAAGTCATATTTACCAAGGCTCCGTCGCTGGCAGCATCGATCATCTTCATTTCCAGGGGAGATAATCCTTCAGAAAATTGTTGAAGAAGTGTTTGTTCAGTTAACCCATGTTGTGGGCAACTAGAACATAACTTTTTAAACCGCTCCCCGTAGTCGTAAAGTGACTCTCCATCAAGTTGCTTGATTCCAAGTATTCTCCTTCGCAATTCACTTACTTTCGCCACAGGGAAAAACCTGTCAAGAAAAAGACGAGTCATTTGAGCCCATGTAGTAATAGAAATATAGGGTAAATAAAATAACCACTCCTTAGACAAATCGACTATGAAAAAATGAAAAGCTCTAAGTTTTATTTGATCATCGGTTACTCTCTGTGGTCTCATACTGGAGCAGACCATGTGAAATTCAATGAGATGTTTATATGGATTCTCGTTTGGCAATCTGCAGAATGTAGGGAGGAGATGAATAAGGCTAGTTTTCAATTGGTATGGAGTTTCTCCTTGGGGAAAATCAATGCACAAAGGCTCTTGTTCAGTGGGCATCACGGCTAAATCACTAATGGTAGGATCGACCATCGGAATTAGTCTGTATTAATGGTTTCACCTGAATTTGATTCTTCTTCTGGATTTGATTGTTGTCTCATTGTTTCCCGAAGCGTATGTGCGTGAAGTCTCCTAGCTTTGTCTTCGATCTTCGGGTCGTACTCCACTAATGCGCCCGGATTAGTCCTGATCATAAATCAAAAGCAAACAAAAATTAGTAATTTTGGCAAAGTCCCTGGCAACGGCACCAATTTGACAACTGTCGTTTTGATGTCAAAATAAAATTCCTTCTTCTCGATTAATAAATAAAGGAAATTCACAGTATAGAGAAGTAAGGGTCGAATCCACATGGACTTATAAAATTCTAAATTTATGTCTCATTGGTTTATACAAGGCATGATATAGTAAAGTGCGGGTTTGGTAAAATGAAATTAAATAGTAGAAAGAGATTAAATAAATAAAGGCAATTAAAGTAAAAATAGGAGAGTACAAATTGTAAAATGGATATGGCAAAAATAGCCTCAAGCTTCGCTTTGACTCAATTTCCTTTAGATCATCGAATTAGATTTTCCCGTCGGGATTTACGTCGATTACTTTGTCTACAAGGGCAATCCTCGTGACTCTATTTTGTATACCGAATACCCAAGGAAATCTTTGATTCAAGCTTCGAAAATTGATCTAATCAACATCAATTGTCGTAGATCAATCACTGTTTAAGTTCATGGCGACCAACTCAGATTGTTGTTTTTATAACCGTCAATTCCAATCTCAATTCCCTCTTGTCCGAGCTATCTTGCCAAGTGTGTTCCCATGAAGTCGAATATGCTTTCTATAAGTCGATCCTTCCTCCCACACATTTAATCACAATAAAAATCTTGACCAAAGTCTATCTTTGATTTTGAAAACTGTTTTGATTTTGAAAAAGAATCGCAAAGATTGAAAGAGATATTCCGAAGATATTAAGGGCCTATTTCAATTCTCCTAATGGAATTGAGTCATCGGTTCAGCTATCGGCTTATGAGAAAATTAGCTAAGCATGACAAAAGTCATACTTAGTATATTTAAAAACAAAGCTTTAAAAATAAAGTAAAAACCGAAAAACTTGAAAAATAAAATAATGAAGAAAACTTTAATAAAACTAGAAAGAAGAAGAGAATTGTAATCTGAGACGTGTGTTTAGACTTACCCTAAGAGGGTATTTATAGCCTCTCAAAGCCTAAGGATAAACAAAGAAATTAAAATAAAATAATCCTAAAGATAATTGTTTTTTCTAAATTCAAACTCTAAACAAGTCTCCTAATACAACTCTGTTCGTCCATCTTCTAGAAGGCGTGCTTAGTAGATCTTCTAGAAACCGCCGCTGACTGGACCTTCTAGAAACTGCCACGTCAGACCGTGTCATGCCCAGAGTCGTGAGCAAATAATAGAAAAATGCAAAATGCGCCCATTTTATCGCTAAGACTGGAAAGCAAGACCTTGCACGAAAATAAGCATAGCACAACCAAATCAGCAGCAATAAATCCACAAGATTGAAAAAATAACGAGCAAATATTAACGATTCTGAACACTCATCAATAATATCGGGGTTAATGCTATTGCACCCGGGTTGATCAAAACTCCCCTCGGTGAATGAGTAAAACTCTTCCACATGCTTATCTTTTATGTTTAGCCTATGTTATAAAACACCTATAATTACCCTACTTAATGTTATAAAACACCTTGAAATAATAAGCCTATGTTATTAGGAGTATAAGCCAAATTTCGATAACAACACATGGTCGTAATAACTAATAAACAAGATACTTTAGAAAAATAATTATCTTATTTGGCATACTAATAAAAATGGGTGTTTATGACTCGACCAATGCTAACTATAAAAGATCAATACTTCATCATCTTGTTTCACCACGTGATTCATAAGGAGAAAGATATATAAATAATCTTCTCTATAAGATGAAACTTTCTCTCTCACACACTCTCTCCTAGTTTTTCATTCGGAGGAAAAGAATCTTTTATCTTTGAGGAGAGATCACTACAGCAAAATAGGTTTTTAGCGGCATTTTTTTAACAAACGTCGGTAAATACTTGTACTTTAGTGGTGTTTTTAAATAAACGCCGCTAAATATTATACTTTAGTGGCGTTTGTATACAAACACCTCCAAAGAGTCATACTTTAGTAGCGTTTGTATACAAATGCCGCTAAAGACCCATACTTTAGTGGCATTTTTATACAAACGTCGCCAAAGATTCGTACTTTAGTGGTGTTTTTTTGAATAAATGTCACAGTTTATTAGTACATTAGCAGCATTTGTAAATACAAACGATGCAAGATTACAATTTCTAAGTCCTACATCCTTTTTAACCCTTTTTCATTTTTTGCTAGAGGTGAACCTAGAATACAAATACAAGATGATGAAGCCCCGAGATCCAGTGAAAGAAGACAAGCTACGGACCCCTGAAAACCTGAAGAGGAGTACAAAAGGGGGGAATTTTATTGGCTTCGTCATTGTCATCCGTCCGAACCCTAGAAGAAGAAAAAACACTTAAAAGTTACAGCTTTCTTCTTCTGCTTGCTTTAGAATTCTCTCAAACTTTCTCTAATCTACAATTTCTACCATTTTACTCTATTCAATTCCTTTCCAATTCACTTCCCTTCCCTTCCAACCTTTCTCTCTTGCTCTTTATTTCACTGCTCAATTTCTCTTCTTTTCTTTTTTTTATTTTAAATTTCGCGAGGTTTTGGTTTTTATTTGAATTTGTCAATATTTTGTATTCTTTTTACTGGTAGAGAAGCGAGAGTGATTTGAATATAAAATGTAGGTTAGATACAGGTTTGAGAGAAAGTTCAGGTTCAGTTAAGCCGCATTGAAGAGGAAACTAAACGTTTAGCCATAATTTGTGAGGTAACTTTGAACAAAATTTTATCTCCCATTATTTTGACTTGGAAAGCTTAAAACTTTAATACTCAATTTCTGCAATATACAGAGTTTTGAGGCTCACATAGTGATGGAAATTCACGATCTTGAGATGGATTTGAAAATTATGGAAAAGGGTGTCTCAAGTTTAGCATTTTATTTGTTTTCCTCCATCACAACTATTAAAGAGTGCCTTATAAAACCAAATAAATCTTTCAGGAGCTTGAAGCACTGGCAAATCCCATGAGAAATGAAGTTACCGTGGTGAGAAAAAAGATCGATGCAGTCAACAAAGAATTGAAACCATTAGGGAATACCTGCCAGAAAAAGGTACAAATTCATCAGACCATTAAACATTTTTCAGAATTCATCTAGAGTAATGTTATTCTCCCTAAAACATCCGAGTTGTTCATATCCGAGTTGGAATAGTTGTGTCCTTAGTTTGTATACAGAGAGCATTAAGTATTTAAGAGCCATGGTATCGAAATATATTATAGGAAAGTGAATACAAGGAAGCCCTGGAGGCGTTTAACGATAGAACAAAGTCCCCGACTTTGTGTCTCTCTTGATCCTCATCCCAAGAATATACTTTACAGTCGCCAGATCTTTCATAGCAAAATGCTTCGACAATTTTTACTTCAAGTTTATAATCTCTTGCATGTCTGAGTCTGCAACGAGCATGTCATCAACGTACAATAATAAAATAATGAAGTTGTTGTCGAACCTCTTGATGTTGCAACAATGATCTGCTTGGCATCTAGTAAAACCACTGCTACTCATGAAGCTATCGAACTTCTTGTACCACTGTCTAGGAGCATGTTTTAAACCATACAAGCTCTTCTTCAACCAACATACCAGGTTTTTCTTGTCTGTCTCTATGAAGCCTTTTGGCTGCCTCATATAGATTTTTTCCTCCAAATCACCATGAAGGAAAGCTGTCTTCAAATCTAACTGCTCAAGATGTAGATTCTCTACAGCTACAATTTTCAACACCAGTCTTATTGTAGAAGCTTCACGACTGGAGAAAATTTTCATTGTAGCCAATACATTATTTTTGCTGAAAACCTTTGACAACCAATCTTGCTTTGTAGCATTTTCTCCCATCGTGCTCTTCTTTGATCCTGTAAATCCACTTGTTATAGAGTGCTTTCTTAACTGGTGGTAATTCAGCTAATTCCCACGTCTGATTTCACATAAGCGAGTCCATCTCATCTTTCATGAAAGACTCCCACTTCACTGAATCCTCCACATGCATTGCTTCATCATAGCACTCTGGTTCACCATTGTCAGTCAGCAACAAGTAGTGTAAAGAAGGCGAATAACACTGGGTTGGTTTAGGAATTCTGGAGGAGCGTCTCAGTTCTGGTGTGCCTGATTCTTCTTGAACTGCTTCAGGACTGATCTGAACATTATTTCCAGAAATCTCCTTAAACTTAACAAATTCCTTTATTTCAGCTTCGGTATTGGAGCTACTTGATTCTATGGTTGACCTATTTTTGTACATCACATTCTCATTGAAAATGACATCTCTGCTTCTGATGATCTTTTGGTTTTCGTAGTCCCAAAACTGGTAACTGAACTTATCACCTCCATAACCAACAAAGACGTATTTTTTGGACTTAGCATCAAGTTTACTTCATTCAGCAGAATTTATGTGTACATAAGAAATACAACCAAACACTCTTAAGTGTGAAAGGTTTATTTCTTTCTTGCTTCAAACATCTTCTGGTAATCCACCATCCAAAGGAACTGAGGGCCCACGGTTGATCAGGTAAGCTGCAGTGTTGATAGCTTCAGCCCATAGAAATTTGGGCAAGCTGGCATGTATCCTCATGATTCTGGGACATTCATTCAGAGTTATGTTCATGCGCTCAACTATGCCATTCTGTTGTGGTATCATGGGAACTGTTGTCTCCATCTTGATCCCATTGTTTGTGCAGAAATCTCTAAATCTACTATTTATGTACTCTCCTCCATTATCAGACCTCAACCGCTTGACTTTCAAACCAGTCTCATTTTCCACCATGGCCTTCCATTTTTTGAATGTATCAAAGACTTCTGATTTCTTTTTCAGAAAATAAACCCACACCTTCCTTGTAGAATCATTGATGAAGGTGACATAATATAGTGAGCCTACAAGGTATGAAACTGGAGATGGTCCCCATACATCAATATGAACCAACTCTAACTTTTCAGCCTTGGGTGCCTTGCCAATCTTTGCAAAACTGGCATTCTTTTGTTTGCCAAAAATACAATCCTTGCATAGTCTGACATCTACACTCTTTAGATCCGGCAGCGTCCCTTTTGACAAAAGTGTCTTCATCCCTTTCTCGCTCATATGGCCAAGCCTTTGGTGCCATAGGTTTGATTTTCCATCAGCATCTGGTACTGTAATGATATTCTCTAAATTTGAGGTTACATAGAGAGTATCAGTCTTCTTACCACGAGCAATGACGAGTGCTCCTTTGGGAATTTTCCATTCACAGCCTGAAAAAGTTGTACTATATCCTTCTCCATCAAGCTGTCCTATAGAAATCAAATTTCTTTTGAGGCCAAGAATATGACTCACTCCTTTCAACTTTCAGGTGGTCTGGTTTGGCAACTTTAATTGAATGTCTCCTTTTTCGACGACCTTCAAAGTTTCATCATCAGCTAGATGAACCTTCCCAAAATCACCACTGACATAGTTCTCCATGATTTCTCGGCATGGGGTGGAGTGGAAAGATGCCCCTGAATCCAAGATCCATGATTCAATAAGACTATTGACGATTAGAATCATGGCATCACCTATCTCCTCTGTCACATTACTAGATTCATGTGCGCCGATATTTTTCTTTGGTGCTCGGTAATCTCTTTTAAAGTGACCCTTCTTACCACAGTTATAACAGGTAAAATCGTTGTTTCCCGTCCTTGATTTTCCCCTTCTGGATTTGGATCTTCCACGATTTGAATTTCTTTCTGAATTTTCCCTCTAGACTCCGTGTGCAAGGCTGAGGAGGTTGACGCTTCACCCGATTCTCTCCGTTGAATTTCTTCACTCAGTACCAAATCCTGAACATCATTTAATTTCAATTTATTATTTCCCGACGAGCTGCTAACTACTGTAACAGTAGCATTCCAACTGTCTGGTAGATATGATAAGAGAATTAAAGCTCGAACTTTATCATCGAATTCAATTTCCATGGAACTCAACTGGGTTGTAATTGTGTTGAGTTCATTTAGGTGTTGAGCCACTTATGCCCCTTCCGCCATCCGCAAATTGAATAATCGCCTCATTAAATGAACTTTGATTAAGGTTGATGGTTTCTCATACATACTAGAGAGAGCTGCCATAAGACCCGCCGTGGTCTTTTCCTTTACTATGTTGAAAGCAACATTTTGGGACAACGTTAGTCGGATAACTCTAAGGGCTTGTCTGTCGAGAAGAGCTCAGTCTTCATTCTTCATGCCCTCCGATTGTTTTTTTGAGAGAGGTTGATATAGATTTTTCTGGTACAGAAAATCTTCAATCTGCATCTTCCAAAAGCCAAAGTCCGCACAATCGAACCTTTAAATTTTCACCTTCCCTTCGTCTGCAGCCATCGTTCCCACTCGAATATGGCTTTGTTTGGATCATTTTTGACAATTCTTGTGAACCACCGTGTATTATAACACCTCCGTTGACAAATTCGTATCGCCGACAAAATTTTTACTGTTCATAAAATTTACTATTCTCATGAATAGTAACCTCACAAAAAATTAACAAAATTCACAACCAAAAGCTCTGATTACCAGTTGTTGGGAAATAAACGATAACAAGTAATTTCCCTATAACCATATTAGTGAGAATGTGAAATAAAAGGGGAAAAATAATACCCGAAATTGATAACGAAGTTTAGCCAATTATGCATACGTCTCCGGACTGTTGCATATCCTTTACTAAGAGAGAAAATTTACAGGTGTTTACAAAACACTCACTACTCACAAGAAAGCTCTCTAGTATTGGGAGAAAGAAATGATTTGGGATGATTTTGAAGCTAAATGAGCTAGGGTATTTATAGTTGAAGCTTAAGGACTAATCTTGTAAATACCCAAAAGTGTGCAATGGCTAAAATATAATTAACCCATTTTTAATTTCATTAAAATATTGGGGCACCGAATTTCTAAAATTATGCTCATCCCTTTGTTGATTTTGGGATCCACCAACGCCCCCTTATTTGACTTTACAGAAGCTGGAAGAACTCAGCAAGAACATAGATTCAATACATTAATCTAAGCCTCTCATGTTTTTAACTGACAAGGTTTGTGTGATGTATCTAAGGTTACTTTTATATTTACATATGGTTGTGTTACTTTTATATTTACATATGGTTGTGTTACTTTTTTTTAGTGTTTGAAGTATTTTATGGTGAATCTTTCTTTGTATTTTTTTTCAATTAGCATTTTTTTGGTCATGAAGGTTAGATGGGTTACTTTTTTCTTATATATGCCTATCCTAAACTCCTAATGTATAGGTGTTCATGGGTTTGGCTGGATTCGAGCCTAGTTTCTCATGTGGTAAAAGTATAATGTATGTTTCAGATGGAATATGCCATGTATATGTTGATAAGTCTGCTAATATGGATATGGCGAAACGGATTATTTTGGATGTAAAAATAGATTATCCAACTGCTTGCAATGCAATGGTAATTTATTGTTCATCTGTCTATTTATTTCTGAAATTTATTCTTTGAGGCTCTATTATGTTTGAATATTTTCATATCGTGTTCAGCACATTGCATATTTTTTTAATGCTTCACTTTTACTTCAGGAAACTCTTCTTGTCCATAAGGATTTCAATCTTCGTTGCATATATAATTTGTTTATTTAATTTTCTAGATTTCTCTCAAATAAGTGATACTGATTGCATAAGCTATTTTGTTTTCTTTTAATTTTAGTTTTTCTTCCCCATATATCAGCTTAATAGATCACATGATTTGCGGGCAAGGAACAATCAAACTCTACGTGGCCTACAATATGTTGGTGAGAACAAACAGCTTAACCTAAGAACTATGAATGCATTTAAGAAGTTCATATCAAACGCTGAATATTTACCATGAACAAAGCTATGGATTGTCTGAGATTTTGGTGCTTTATGGATTTATATTTTGATATTTGACTAATGACTCTAGATCCTAACAGCTCAAGGTGTTTACAATGCGACACCCCGGTGGTGTCAATGATTGGAGTTCAAATTGGTTTTTCTAATGTAAGGAGACACCAACTTTAGGCAACTGAGTGAAAGGTTTCTAGATGTTGAGAAGTAAATATTCTTTAACTTATATATTGAAAACGAGAAATTTAGGCTCCCAACCTCTTAATCATTAAACTTGATAAGTGAATTTTGCTTAAACAATTGCCTATTATATCTTATAGCATGTAATTAGAATAGTGTTATTTTACAATGTCTTTTAAAGTTGTCACTTGGAAAATTTCTCTTCTGAAGAAAAAAAGCATAACTTTTAAGTGAAGAATATCTCAAAGAAAAGGATTAAGGCCATGGATTTAGAGTAGTTA